GTGAGAGTGCTGTGAGTGTGAATGATGTTCTAGACGGGCTAGACTGCTGAGTGAGAGTGATGTAAGTGTGAATGATGTTCTAGGTGGTCTAGACTGCTGAGTGAGAGTGATGTAAGTGTGAATGATGTTGTAGACGGTCTACACTGCTGAGTGAGAGTGATGTAAGTGTGAATGATGTTATAGATGGTCTAGACTGCTGAGTGAGAGTGATGTGAGTGTGAATGATGGTATAGACGGTCTAGACTTCTGAGTGAGAGTGACGTGAGTGTGAATGATGTTGTAGACGGTCTAGACTTCTGAGTGAGAGTGATGTGAGTGTGAATGATGTTGTAGACGGTCTAGACTGCTGAGTGAGAGTGATGTGAGTGTGAATGATGTTCTAGATGGTCTAGACTGCTGAGTGAGAGTGATGTGAGTGTGAATGATCTTTCAGACGGTCTAGACTGCTGAGTGAGAGTGATGTGAGTGTGAATGATGTTCTAGATGGTCTACACTGCTGAGTGAGAGTTATGTGAGTGTGAATGATATTCTAGATTGTCTAGATTGCTGAGTGAGAGTAATGTGAGTGTGAATGATGTTGTAGATGGTCTAGACTGCTGAGTGAGAGTGATGTAAGTGTGAATGATGTTGTAGACGGTCTAGACTGCTGCGTGAGAGTGATGTAAGTGTGAATGATGTTCTAGACGGTCTAGACTGCTGTGTGAGAGTGATATGAGTGTGAATGATGTTGTAGACGGTCTAGACTGCTGAGTGAGTGTGATGTGAGTGTGAATGATGTTCTAGATGGTCTAGACTGCTGCGTGAGAGTGATGTCAGTGTGAATGATGTTCTAGATGGTCTAGACTGCTGAGTGAGAGTGATGTGAGTGTGAATGATCTTTCAGACGGTCTAGACTGCTGAGTGAGAGTGATGTGAGTGTGAATGATGTTCTAGATGGTCTACACTGCTGAGTGAGAGTTATGTGAGTGTGAATGATATTCTAGATTGTCTAGATTGCTGAGTGAGAGTAATGTGAGTGTGAATGATGTTGTAGATGGTCTAGACTGCTGAGTGAGAGTGATGTAAGTGTGAATGATGTTGTAGACGGTCTAGACTGCTGCGTGAGAGTGATGTAAGTGTGAATGATGTTCTAGACGGTCTAGACTGCTGTGTGAGAGTGATATGAGTGTGAATGATGTTGTAGACGGTCTAGACTGCTGAGTGAGTGTGATGTGAGTGTGAATGATGTTCTAGATGGTCTAGACTGCTGCGTGAGAGTGATGTCAGTGTGAATGATGTTCTAGATGGTCTAGATTGCTGAGTGAGAGTGATGTCAGTGTGAATGATGTTCTATATGGTCTAGACTGCTGAGTGAGAGTGATGTAAGTGTGAATGATGTTCTAGATGGTCTAGATTGCTGAGTGAGAGTGATGTCAGTGTGAATGATGTTCTATATGGTCTAGACTGCTGAGTAAGAGTGATGTAAGTGTGAATGATGTTCTAGACGGTCTAGACTGCTGAGTGAGAGTGATGTGAGTGTGAATGATGATCTAGAGATGCTCGGCTGCTGAGTGAGAGCGATGTGAGTGTGAATGATGTTTAAGACAGTCTAGACTGATGATTGAGAGTATCACGAATCGAATTGAGTTCACGCTTATAACTAAAACCATCTTAAACGTGTGTACTTTTTCAATTTTTGCCACAAACACGAGGGCGCCGAGGTTGGTTGGTTTCGCTCTCAGGGCAGTTTCAGCCTCCATCGGCACGTCTCAAGCTCCAGTCCTCGCAGCCCCCACCACCACCCCCACGCCTTTCCGCCTGCATCAATGTACTTCCCCGCTCAAATATAAATGTACTCGTTCCGCGCCCCATGCGCCTGATGATTGTTAAACGCGTCTCACGCGACGCGCTGAACAATTGACGCTGTATGCGTTAACGGAGCCGATTCACTTGCGCGTGTGCGTGTGTGTGCGTGTGTGTTCGTGTAGTGTAGCGGCTAGCGCCTTGCGCTACAAACCCGGCAATCCTGGGTCCGATTCCCGCTCATGGTCAACACCAGTGATGATTATATGAACCGGTCCTGGGCCTCCCCTGGGTCGACTCAGCTTCAAATGAGTACCCGGTGCGCTGTGTAAACATCGCCACTTGGGAGACAAAGACGATCGGGCGTGGTGTTGGCCACCGACCCCCTCGTGTGCCACAGTTCCGGCCTTCATAGGTGCTCGCTAAGAGCACTCGCCCTAACAGTCAGGGGATCTTTGTCTTTGTGTACACGTGTGTGTGTGCACGTGTTCCACGTGACGCGTTGGCCAGGTCTACGGCGCATGCGCTCACCACTGCGCCACCGCTCTGCCCCAGCTGAATGTTCATGAATACCGATCTGTGCGTACGGCGAATAAAAGTTAATCGTCCGATAACTCGCGCCCTAAAACTGGTTGGCGCATGATCCAATTGTATTATCCATAGAAATACATTTCTACCGCCGAGGTCCCGAATCAATAGACTCACACAGAGAGCCATAGACTCACAGATACCGATAGACACATATATACCCGATTTAAAGCTTTTGTGACTGCAAGGATTCATCTTCTTTGGTTCTTTCGGTAAAGTCACGTAGAATGAGAATAAAATAATAAATTAATAAAATTAAATAACACAATAAAATTCTCACGACGTTTCGGCCACAATACAAGTGGCCTTCATCAGGTGAAGGGACGAGACTGTCTGGAGGACAGCGCTGTCGTGAGAATTTTATTGTGTTATTTTAGTTTAATAATTTATTATTTTATTCTCATTCTACGTGACTTTACCGAAAGAACCAAAGAAGACATATATACCCATCCACCTACATACAGAAGCATAGACTCACGCAGAACCACATATACCTCCAATACAGCTTTCACAGTCCAACTGACCTTCATAGAGACCCATTTACCGTTGTAGCCGGGACCTGGTGGCTATGCACGTGGCCTGTAATCCAGCACCTCCGATTACCACAGTTGGCTACGTACGGTGTGAAAAAAGTTCAACATACAATACGCTCCCTTCCCGTGGATGTCCAAGAGCCATACTCTGGCTTGACAGGAGAAGGCGGCACAGCAAGGATGGACTCTCATCACCCGTCCCATCTTTACGAGGATAAAGCGTTGCCCCCTCGCACGCGTAGGTTTTCTCCGGGTGCTTTTTCTTCCCGCATGTTTGTAAGCACTCATTGAAGCAGCTAAAAACATCTCAATATATGCAATTTGCATGAACGTCGCTATATAAATGGAAACGTTCTATATCTGAATCAGCTCGAGCCTTCCGCAAATCCCGTGACCTCTGTGTGGCACCCTGAATCCCCCCCCCTCCCCGCCGCCGGCTGTGAAGACTGACGCCACCCCTCGCTCCCTCCTGCTCCTCCCTCTCTTCTCCCCCTCTCTCAGCAGCATCATCGTCATCATCACCCTCTCATCATCTTGACCCGCTCATTCCTTCTCCTCCTCCTCCTCCCCTTCCTGCTGCTCATCTCGAGCCGTGCCATAATCTTGGGCACTTCCGTTCCGGGCATCCCCTCCCCTCCTCCCCTCCTTGTCCGCTCATCTCCACCCCTCCCTCCAACCCCCCCTGCTGCCCCCGTCTGGTGCCCTTTAGCCATGAACTTTACCGCCGGCTCTCTGCGCCGTTCATGTCAGACCCCAATGTAGTAGTTGAGTGTCAGGGTGACGCGATGTTCATCACAAGCTGGCCAAGCCAGCGGGTTAAGGGAGCCTCCGCGCTTCAGCGTGGATCGCGTGCTCACCCCCCCACCCCCAACACCGCCCCTCCCACGTGTGTCGGCCGCATAACGCGAGCGGTGATTCGACCACACTTCACCACGCCGCATGGGCAGTGCGGGGTTTTGGCGAATGCGGGGAGCGTGGACGGCCAGTGCACAGGCGTAGAGTACAAAACTCAATCTCGCTGCAGTGCCCTCTTGTAGGTACCTTGGACATCAAACCCAATGTATTCATCGACATTAAACTTTGTTTGAACGGTTAAGAACCGAAGGGGTGCAAGGCCGCAGTCAAGGTTAAAGAAACCACCGCATGAGAGACACAGATTTTACTCTCTGCATCATGGTGCATGGGAATGTACATACGCATGTTGAACTTCTTTCGCACCGTACGTAGCCAACAGTGCTCGTCGGAGCGTAGGCCCCGCAGCGACCTACACTGGTCATTGGTCGCCCATCCAAGCAGTGTCCGGGTTCAACCCCGCTGAGCTTTATAAAGTCGGACGAGGTCTCGGGTGACTTTTTCTCAGAGGCAAACATTGGTACGAGGCGGTGCAGACTTAAGACGAAGGTCGCGCGACATGTGAGACGAGGAATTCACAGCTGGGCTGTGTCTCAGCCGCTGCACTGAGAGGCAGCTTGCCAGCGCCTTATATTGCGGTGGCTACGCTGCTGCTGCACGTGGCTGCACGTGGCTGCACGTGTGATCCAGCGCTGTGGAGGCAACAGTCAGGGTTGGTGGATCACCACGCACAGACGCTGCGAAGCTCCCCTTCTTCCCGCGAAGGAGGAAGGAGCGGTGGGTCGAGGAGCCGGTGTCATGAACCCTCGCTCACCGGGAGAAGGCGCTACAGCAAAACAAGTGTGGACTCCACCTTGTTCCGTCTGTGTGGGATAGAGCGTTGCCCCCTCGCACGCGTGAGTTTTCTCCGGGTGCTTCGGTTTCCTCCCACGCGTAACACCTTCGTATGCAGAGGACCGCGGAGCTCGCCGCCGCGTGGCTGCTGCTGCTGCCTTCCCGCACCTCGTCTGTGGTTACTCCTCCTCGCCCCCCTCTCTTTCCCCTCTCTACGAGAGTGAGCGAATTCCGTGCGGGGGGGGGGGGGGGGGGGGGTTGTCGCGTTGTTACAAGTTGACGTTATTCGTGTTGTTATTTATTATTATCACCACTGCCACCGTTGTAGAGTTATATCTGCGTCCTTTGGAACGACCAAGCCAACCTCCCCCTGACCCCTCTACACCCCCCCGCCACCTTGTCCCGGCACAGACCTCCATATCGCGCCGACGCGAAGCGGCAGACTTCGCGTGAAGCGTCCTCGAGCCGCCTGCCGCATGGGAGTTGAGCCGGCTCGAGCATTCCCGCGCCGGGGCCAAGTCCAGCCATGGTTCACGGCCACGCCGCCCCGGCACCGCGAGACGACGAGACCGCTCGGAGCCGCCAACACCGCCGCCTCCTCTCCGTCCCCACTCCTCCCGCGCAGACGTCCGCCGATAACGACGATGACGACGGCTACCCGGCGGCAGCGGCGGCGGCGTCGGCGGCGGCGGCGGCGTCGACTCCGACCACTTCCATCGACGGTAGCAACGACGACGACGACTCGAGCCACCTCCTCATCACGGTGAACGTCGGCGGCTTCCGCCAGAGGCTGTCCCAGGGCACGCTGCTGCGCTTCCCGGAGACGCGGCTCGGCCGCATCCTCTCGTGCCGCTCCGAGTCGGCGATCCTGCAGCTGTGCGACGACTACGTTCGCGACAGCCGCGAGTTCTACTTCGACCGCCACCCGGGACTCTTCCGCCACGTGCTCGACTTCTACCGCACGGGCCGCCTGCGGGCGCTGCAGCAGGAGTTGTGCGTCTTCAGCCTGAGCCAGGAGATCGAGTACTGGGGGCTTCCCGACCTCCTGCAGGTGGCGAGCAGCTCGTACTGCTGCAGCCACCACTACCTGGAGCGGCTCGAGTGCCTCGCGGCGGGAGCGCAGGCCGGGCGGAGCGGCCGGCGCTGCCTGCGGAAGAATAACGACGACGATGATGACGATGAAGAGGAAGACGACGACGACGACGATGATGAGGACGATGAGGACGATGATGGTAGCGACAACTCTGGGGATGGCGGTGAGGATGGTGACGCCCGCGATGACGGCGGCGGCGGCGAGGATGACGAAGCGACGGACGCGAACTACCGATGCTGCGCTGGGAGACGCAGGAGGATGTGGGCGATGCTGGAAAACCCCGGCCACTCGCTCCTCGCCAAGGTCTACACGGGGGTGTCCATCGCCGTGCTGCTCGTGTCCATCATCTCCATGTGCGTTCACAGCATGGGGGACGAGCGCGGCGGAGGGGGCGACGGGGCGGTGGACGACCCCGCGCTGGCCGTGGTGGAGGACCCCGTGCTGGCCGTGGTGGAGGACGTGTGTGTCGCCTGGTTCACCCTGGAGCTCGCGGCGCGGATGATCGCGGCGCCCGACCTCAAGGTGCGACCTCGGGGAGCTGTCTCGCCCCCTCTTCTGCGTCTCCACTGGGACTCCCTGTCTCTCTGTCTCTCTGTCTCCACTGGGACTCCCTGTCTCTGTGTCTCTCTGTCTCCACTAGGACTCTCTGTCTCTCTGTCTCCACTGTCTCCACTGGGACTCTCTGTCTCCACTGTCTCCACTGGGACTCCCTGTCTCTTTGTCTCTCTGTCTCCACTGGGACTCCCTGTCTCTCTGTCTCCACTGTCTCCACTGGGACTCTCTGTCTCTGTGTCTCTCTGTCTCCACTGGGACTCTCTGTCTCTCTGTCTCCACTGGGACTCCCTGTCTCTCTGTCTCTCTGTCTCTCCGTCTCCACTGGGACTCTCTGTCTCTCTGTCTCCACTGGGACTCTCTGTCTCTCTGTCTCCACTGTTTCCACTGGGACTCTCTGTCTCTCTGTCTCCACTGGGACTCTCTGTCTCTCTGTCTCTACTGGGACTCCCTGTATCCCTGTCTTCATAACGTGTGCCTCCCTGTCTGTCTCTACGTGTCTTCCTGTCTAGATGTCTCCATTCTCCCAGTCCCAACTTTATTTCTCTACAAACGCAGAGAGACAGACAGTGTAGACACAGAGACAGGGAGATGAGACAGAGGGGGGGCAGAGAGAGACTGAAGACGGACAGTGGAAACGGACACAGGGAGACAACCAGTAGAGACAGGGAGACAACCAGTGGAGACAGGGAGACAACCAGTGGAGACAGGGAGACAACCAGTGGAGACAGGGAGACAGGACTACAAATACAACCAGCGGGTGGGATTGTTTTTGAAAAAGCTCTCAGCACGTGGAGGGAAACGTCTGACATTATCTGGAATAACACGTAGTACAACTCGTAAAACAAACATTGTAGAGCTATACAGCACAACTGCGAACACCGACGCTGTGGTAGGTACACTGGACGGTAGATATACTGGATGGTAGTTATGGTAGGTACACTGGATGGTAGCTATACTGGATGGTAGTTAAGGTAGGTACACTGGATGGTAGCTATACTGGATGGTAGTTATGGTAGGTATACTGGATGGTAGCTATACTGGATGGTAGGTATACTGGATGGTAGGTATACTGGACGGTAGCTATACTGGACGGTAGGTATACTGGATGGTAGCTATACTGGACGGTAGGTATACTGGATGGTAGGTACACTGGATGGTAGGTATACTGGATGCTAGGTATACTGGATGGTAGGTACACTGGATGCTAGGTACACTGGATGGTAGCTATACTGGACGGTAGGTATACTGGATGGTAGGTACACTGGATGGTAGGTATACTGGATGGTAGGTATACTGGATGGTAGCTATACTGGATGGTAGCTATGTTAGGTATACTGGATGGTAGGTACACTGGATGGTAGGTATACTGGATGGTAGGTATACTGGATGGTAGGTATACTGGACGGTAGCTATACTGGACGGTAGGTATACTGGATGGTAGCTATACTGGACAGTAGGTATACTGGATGGTAGGTACACTGGATGGTAGGTATACTGGATGCTAGGTATACTGGATGGTAGGTACACTGGATGGTAGGTACACTGGATGGTAGCTATACTGGACGGTAGGTATACTGGATGGTAGGTACACTGGATGGTAGGTATACTGGATGGTAGGTATACTGGATGCTAGCTATACTGGATGGTAGTTATGGTAGGTATACTGGATGGTAGGTACACTGGATGGTAGGTATACTGGATGGTAGGTATACTGGATGTTTGCTATACTGGACGGTAGGTATACTGGATGGTAGGTACACTTGATGGTAGCTATACTGGACGGTAGTTATGGTAGGTATACTGGATGGTAGGTATACTGGACGGTAGGTATACTGGACCGTAGGTATACTGGATGGTAGGTATACTGGATGGTAGCTATACTGGATGGTAGCTATACTGGACGGTAGGCATAATGGATGGTAACTATACTGGATGGTAGCTATACTGGATGGTAGCTATGGTAGGTATACTGGATGGTAGGTATACTGGATGGTAGGTACACTGGATGGTAGCTATACTGGATGGTAGCTATACTGGACGGTAGGTATACTGGATGGTAGGTATACTGGACGGTAGGTATACTGGATGGTAGCTATACTGGATGGTAGCTATACTGGACGGTAGGTATACTGGATGGTAGCTATACTGGATGGTAGCTATACTGGATGGTAGTTATGGTAGGTATACTGGATGGTAGGTATACTGGATGGTAGGTATACTGGATGGTAGCTATACTGGACGGTAGGTATACTGGATGGTAGGTATACTGGACAGTAGGTATACTGGATGGTAGGTATACTGGATGGTAGCTATATTGGATGGTAGTTATGGTAGGTATACTGGATGGTAGCTATTCTGGATGGTAGCTATACTGGACGGTAGGTATACTGGATGGTAGCTGTACTGGATGGTAGTTATGGTAGGTATACTGGATGGTAGCTATACTGGATGGCAATTATGGTAGGTATTCTGGATGGTAATTATGGTAGCTATACTGGATGGTAGGTATACTGGATGGTAGTTATGGTAGGTATACTGGATGGTAGGTATATTGGATGGTAGGTATACTGGATGGTAGGTACACTGGATGGTAGTTATGGTAGGTATACTGGATGGTAGCTATACTGGATGGTAGGTATACTGGATGGTAGTTATGATAGCTATACTGGACGGTAGGTATACTGGATGGTAGCTATACTGGACGGTAGGTATACTGGATGGTAGGTATACTGGATGGTAGGTATTCTGGATGGTAGGTATAGTGGATGGTAGGTATACTGGATGGTAGGTATACTGGATGGTAGCTGTGATGGATGGTAGGTATACTGGATGGTAGGTATACTGGACGGTAGCTATACTGGATGGTAGCTATACTGGATGGTAGGTATACTGGATGGTAGCTATACTGGATGGTAGGTATACTGGATGGTAGCTGTACTGGATGGTAGGTATACTGGATGGTAGTTATGGTAGCTATACTGGACGGTAGGTATACTGAATGGTAGGTATACTGGACGGTAGGTATACTGGATGGTAGGTATACTGGACGGTAGGTATACTGGATGGTAGGTATACTGGATGGTAGGTATACTGGATCGTCGGTATACTGGATGGTAGGTATACTGGATGGTAGGTATACTGGACGGTAGGTATACTGGATGGTAGTTATGGTAGGTATACTGGATGGTAGGTACACTGGATGGTAGGTATACTGGATGCGGTGTCCCTCGAGGAAAAAATATCTCCGGGTAGTTGACTTGGACAGACCCGGCCGCAATTAAAATCCGTGACTACTCCACTGCCTCTCCCCCTCATCATCCTCATCATCATCCTCACCCCCCTCTTCTTCCCCCTCCTCCTGCTCATCATCCTCTTTCTGCTCCTCATCTTCACCCTCCTCTTCTTCCTCCTCCTCCTCCTCCTCCTCTTCATCCTCCTCATCATCCTCATCATCCTCACCCTTCCCCTCCTCCTCCTCTTCCCCCTCCTCCTCCTTCCCTCCAGAAGTTCTTCAGCCGCCCGCTCAACTCCATCGACCTGGTGTCGGTGACTCCGTTCTACGCGACGCTGCTGCTGAGCGGCGTGGAGCTGGGCAACGTGGGGCGCGTGGTGCAGATCCTGCGGCTCATGCGCGTGCTGCGCATCCTGAAGCTCGCGCGCCACTCCACGGGGCTCCGCTCGCTCGGCCAGACGCTCACGCACAGCTACCACGAGGTGGGTGCCCACAGCGGTGTGGGCGGGTGGGGGGGTATGGGGGGAGAGGGGCATGGAGAGGGGGGCGAGGGGCATGGAGAGGGGGGGACGAGGGACATGGAGGAGGCGAGGGGCATGGCGGGTGGGTGGGGGGGTGGGCGAGGGGCAATGGGGGGGCGAGGGGATGGTCGGCGGGGCAGATGTCTACTGGACATTTTTGAAAAGAGCTTTGTAGCTCATCGGATTCCGCCAGCATAAATAAAGATTCTGATGATTCTGAAGATGCGCGTGCGAGGGAAGGGATGCCCGGGACGGAAGTCCCCAAGAGGGACAAAGAAGGAGGCACGGCTCGAGATGAGCAGCAGGAAGAGAGGAGGAGAATAATCTGAATATTTAAAAATATCAGATGAATCTGATTTAGCGATAAAGCTCTTTTTCACATATGTAAATTAGAGAATGCTGAATCATCACTCACCCGGATCAGTAGGTGGGCAGGTGAGCAGATAATCGTGTGGGTAGGTAGGCAGGTGTAAAGATAGGCAGGTGGGCAGGCAATCAGGTGGGAGGGTATTCAGGTGGGAAGTTAGGCAGGTGGGCAGTTTTTGTTTTCAGGGTTTCCAAGGCGTAACCAGATACTGAACTAAATTTGTGGCACCAATCGAGCGCACGATCAGGATTGACCACTGCCAACTACTCAGGGCACTTCCCTCGTGCAGCGCGGTAAAGTGTGGGTTCTGCCACCTCTTCCAAGACGTCTGGCCAGCGTGAAAGAGTAGGCCAAATCCCCTCTCTAGACGGGGCTCTGTAAAGTTCCCTCTTAGCGGCGGCCCTTTCTGCCGGCAGTGGCGTGAGCCAAGCAATTGCAGGGGCTGCGCCTTTACCTTTACCCTCTACGGACGCGGTCGCTAGCGTCTCTGTGTGTTGGGTGGTCACGAGGTTTGACCCTGCGCATTGGTCAGTGTTGGTTCGAGGCGAGGCTGCGCATCTCAATGTTTGTTTTACATTTCGCTGGCCCGGCTGCAGAAACACATTTACATTTCACGAGGCCCTCCCCCCGCCTCCCTCCCCTCCCTCCCTACCCCCCTCCCTCCCTGTCTGGCTGTTCGCTGCCGCCCATCCATCCCCCACCCCAAACCATATGGCATTGATAGAAATGACGATGAGTCAATCATGAATCGCACAGCCCCTGATATTGTTATTTGGGTGTCTGTGAATGGGCGACTCTCTGGGTCTCCGTGTCGACGGTTCCCCGTACATATCTGTGCGAGTCTATGGGTCTCTGTGCGAGTCTATGGGCCTCTGTGCGAGTCTATGAACATCAATGCAAAGTCTATGTGCCGTGTAAGAACGGCTGTCCCTGGCAATTGCCCATGCTTAGCTCGACCGCAGCAGGGCATTGGAGTAGTTGAGGTGAGAGTGCACGGCGCTCTGAGTTGCCGAGGCAATCGGATGCACCTCCCCGTCCAAAGCCCTCGTCCACATCCCCCGCGGTACGGATTCGGCTCGGCGCCGCTCACCAAAAGTTTTCGCGAACACCGCCTGGGCCCCGATGATCGCGGGGAGTCCGTGCGGTTCGCGATCACGGACGCGGTTCGGTCCGCGACTGGGGCTGTCTGGGGTGGTGTGTGTGGGGGCTCACGCGTGCGTGCGCAGGTGGGCATGCTGCTGCTCTTCCTGTCCGTGGGCATCTCCATCTTCTCGGTGCTCATCTACTCGGCGGAGAGGGACGAGGAGGAGGGGGGACTCGCGAGCATCCCGCTGTGCTGGTGGTGGGCCACCATCAGCATGACGACGGTGGGCTACGGGGACACCTACCCCGTGACCGCCGCCGGCAAGGCCATCGCCACGGCGTGCATCATCTGCGGCATCCTCGTCGTGTCGCTGCCCATCACCATCATCTTCAACAAGTTCGCCATGTACTACAGGCGGCAGAGCAAACAGCTGCGGCGGGCAGCTGCAAAGTACGCCGCCATCGCCAAACGTACGTCGTCTGGCCTCGGCGCCCCCCCCCCCCCACCCAAAAATAAATCACGACGTTTCGAACGCCGTGATTTATTTATGTTTTTATTTTACGAGGTAGGGACCCGCTGAGTTATGTCGATATTTTTTCAGAAGCAACCCGGCTATCGAAAATGAAAGCTCAACGAAGTGGCTTATCACGTTGACGTGTATACACGTCGCAGCTAAATACTCTAAACACGCAACCTCCAAATAGACAGCAGCAGGCGTCAGGGTCGGGATCGATCCCACGACCTCCTGCGCACCCGGCGAGGTCGTTCACATCTTCCCACCGCGACGGTTTGACCGTAGCATTCGACGTTTTTCCGCTGGGTGTTGCGCCCAGCGGCTGCGGGTAACCACCGCAGTGCGCTCAGGCAGGTGGTCGCATGAAGATTCCGTGGGCAACTTCCCCGGCGTAGCGTTGTGTGTGATTGGTAAAAAAACAAAAAAAATGTGGTGTGAATCGCCTCTCGACGTAGTGACCGGTTTTTTGTTGGGAACGATGTCAATTTGCGCGTTTGTTGTTCACGTGATCAACAAACGCGCATGGGCCGACTCTTGGCGAATATGACGTCCGGGGATGTTTAACATCCACGGTGAAGCAGAGGGAGGCGCCTCGTAGCATTATTACGGTTATTATCACGCACCGCAGCATTAACCAGGGCGGCCGCTCCTGCTTGGCCCGTGCCACCGTTCCCAATCCTCGCTCTTCTCTTCCCCCCACGCCGCCCCTCCCTCCCCCCCTCCATCCCGAGCAGGCGCTGAGAAGGAAGACTGCCCTTCGATCCGCAGCCGAAGCCCCAGCATCGACGCGACCCCCAGGAAGGCGGCGTCAGCCCAAGGCGAGTCGCTCCTCGCCAACGAGAAGAACTCCATGTGAAGAGACCGGGGCTCGCCGCTCTGGCGCCTTCGCGACACATTTGCCGAAGTCGAGGAACCTCCCGGTAATCCTCGCCTCGAGCTGTCCGCTGGCGCGACTCTGCGCTGTTGCCGGGCCCGCGACCCGCTACGGGCTTCGTGACGCGCGGCACGCGCGCGTCAAGCTCGGGAGGTGGCCCGGCCGGGTGGCTCAGGGGGTGCCCATAGTCTATGGCCACGTGGCAGAGAGAGGGAGAGACTCTGAGGCAGTCACCGATGAGTTTATGGGCTCCAGGCGTGAAGGTTGACGTTAGGGCCACGTGATGAGTGGTTTTGTAGCGGAGGAAGAGATTACCGAGGCTCAATCCAGCTGTGGATAGATGATGACGATGATGATGATGATGTTGTTGTAAGAATGAGATGCAGGGTGGTCTAGGGGTCACAGCACTGAGCCGTAACCTCTGAGATGTTTGGTTGCACTTTGAGGTTCAGCCGCTGCCCGTGATTAAACGGAGTTCTGCAAGTGCAGCGAGCTGATGGTCTAAGTCCCGTCACTGATGATTACTACGACAACAGAAAGGTTGACTGTTGATTTGCACTTCATTTGGCTCATTCCAGCCCTGGGAGTTCAAAATAAAAGCGGTTTTATTGAGGAACACCCTTAGCAGAGCATGTGAAAGGTGTAAAAGAGAGGCCCGTTGGAGTGGCTTCAAAAGTAGTTCTGTGATGTCATCTTCAAGGCAACTTGCCGACACAAGGTGATGCACTGGCAGCACAATTATAATATTAACCAAAAAAGTAAAATAAACAAAAAGTAACTAAATGAAGCTCCTGAGAGCACTGTCTGCGGTAGTCGCATTAACATAGAGGGAGACGAGGAGAGAGCCGCTCTTGTAACGACAGCAGCAGTAGCAGAGAGACAAGTTGGGGGGGGGGGGGGGGCGGACTGACGACTTTGAGAGTTGAGAGAGGTAGCCAAGAAACAAGAAGGCACAAATCGCTTCCCACCTCCACCCCGATTCCCGCTTCCCCCCCTTCCCCCCCCCCCCCCCCAGGCTTCGGACACTCTCCAATTACCGACATTTGGTAACCCTGACCGATCGCAACATTTTCTCTGGTACTTTAATTATCTCCACGCACCGCGTATCGCCTCGGGAGATATTGGCCCGCGGTGATCCCGTCGAGCGCCCGAGCGATTGTACATTTGAAGGGGACACCTCGCACCGAATACGATTCGATCATTTTGCAGGCTGGATATTTACAACAACAAAAAATTGTTGTTGCTCCCGGTACTCCGGCACGCAATGGCCTCGTGCTCGCGACACCACGCGAAGTTTCGTCATGCAACGCACGGACATCCACTGCTCGTAAAAGCGTTCGAGGAAGCCGCCACGGCGGAGGGACGGTTCAGCGGCGCTACCGGACTCGCGAATCCAGAGATCGACGGTTCGATTCCATCTCCCGGAGTGGCGGTTGAGACCCTGAGACCCTGATCCGTGTTTCTTAAGCCGCCCTACCGCCCGCACCGCCTCCGTCCACCCGGCGGCGTGAATGGGTTGCACCGCAGTTAGTCGATCGGATAGGTCACGTGTGGCGGGGTAAAGTGTGGAAGAGTAGACCAAAATAGCTTCTAGACGGATCCTCGAGGGCTGCCTCTAAGTGGAGGCCCTTCTGCCGGCAGTGGCATGAGCAGGGAATAGCAGGGCTGCACTCTTACCTTTTATTTATTTTAGCCGAGTAAAGCATATATGTACATATGAAAAATATATCAGCCTAACAGATCATGCACTTTACCGTCGTGTAAATAAGAACATTATACAGCCTCTTGCCATTTACAGTCACGAGTGGTGAAAAACGAAGAGAGTATCGGGTTGACTGCCATGCGAAGAACGTTACTCCCATGTGGCAAAGCGGGTGGGGAATGTGCTGCCCTCTTCTGTGCGTGAACCAGAGTGTCACTTGAAGAAGAAGAAGAAGGGATCTCAGATGTAGTTCTGTGGTATCCGCTTTGGTGGACCACTCCGTCACACGAAGGTGTCACGCTGGCTCTGCGATATTTCCGAATGGAATCCTCGTGCCATGACCATATGACGTGTCATGAACACGTGACGTGTCATGACCTTGTGACGTGTCATGACCACGTGGCGTGTCATGACCTTGTGACTTGTCATGAACACGTGACGTGTTATGACCTTGTGACGTGTCATGACCACGTGGTGTGTCATGACCTTGTGACGTGTCATGACCACGTGGCGTGTCATGACCTTGTGACGTGTCATGACCACGTGACGTGTCATGACCTTGTGACGTGTCATGACCACGTGACGTGTCATGACCTTGTGACGTGTCATGACCAAGTGACGTGTAATGACCATGTGACGTGACATGGCCATGTGACGCTGATGGCATCCGGTGGGTAAATGACAACAAAATAAAGATACATAAAAAAAACACATTAGGGACTGTTAAGACATTTAAGAAAATGCCGGGGGCTTCCTATTTGTGCAAATACCATATCCGCAGTCCTTCTCAGAGGCAATCGGCCACCACTTTCCCACGAGCGGTGAGCATTGACCTAAGAATAAGTGTTTCTGATGTAAAATAAGAAAAATAACTTCAACTGGAACCATTGAAATTGCATGCGGTCTGCTTATTCACAGTGACACCCGAGATGCATGACATTGAAAACAATATATATTTGACACCCGAAGAGAGCAGGCGCATTCTACATTAATTTGTTGTATCCTGGGCCTCGAGAAAAGACCAGGGACTTCAGTAGTTGTCTGTGTCGGGTGGAGGAGGGTGTACGGCACACAATCTGACCCCAAACAAAATAATTACGAAACAGGAATGGGCAGGTGTTGCAGAGGTCCTCTTTTAAATTCGATCTCCCGGCGAGTACAGTTTTGCAAACAACGCGTGCCCGTTTATTAAATCCTCGACACCACGTCGCCTCTCTTAAGGGGTTCATCGCTGTTCGCCCATCAGCAGCAGGTCACGCGTGTGGTGGGGTAGAGTGTGGGTACGTCCGCCCCCACCTCGTCCAAGACGTACTGGCCAGTGTGGAGGAGTAGGCCAAACTACCTTATTCTTTTCGACAGCCGGGCCTCTCTCGCGTCAGAGCTCCACTCGAGCAGAGGGCCTTCGGCTAGCGGTGGTGCGAGCTGGCAATTGCAGGGCTGCGCCTTTCCCTCCGCTCAGATTAGGGCCGCGCGTGATGAAGCGATACCCAGTGAAGATGTCTAAAGGGCTTGCGGGCGGCACTCACGTCACAGATAAAGACACACACAACACAAATAGAACTAAACTATTATTTGGGATGATGGGTGGGGGGCAACAGTCGAGTGAGCAACCTTAATGAAAGCACGCGAGTTATGTTGAATTACCACGTCGGATAACAAACAAAAAATACTTTGTCTTCCTTCATTTAAATGAATGAATGAATTGTGGTGTTGCTGCTGCTGCAATTAAATTGGGCAAAGGGCCCACGCTGATCCCGAGTCCCGTCTCGTTTGTGCGCAATCCGAGTTGACCCTCCAGCCCCCCCAGCTCAACCCCCCTTCTCACTCTCCCCGCGGTACAATTTGCGTCCACCTGTGCCAATGTCTCTCTATTTAAATGCAAATGAGACCCTATTGACGTCCTCCAGCACCTCCTTCCCCCGCATTGAAATTCTAAACAGTGTTGGGGGTGGAGTGACACCGGCCGGCGCCCGGATACTACCATCATTGGGCGCGTGGTGTCACACTGACCAACGTGGTGAAGTACGGTCAAACTACTCCCCCCCGTCCCCCCACCCCCTTAGTGATGGCTACGCACGTGGCTGTTGCCTGTAATCTGGAGGCAACAGCGAGGGGTTGGTGAATCACCGCACACACAACACACAGAGGGTGTGAAACTCCCCTCCCGTGAGCGTCGAGGAGGTGCCGTATACCCTGGCTCGATAGCAGAAGGCGGAACAGCGAGTGGACTAATCACCTGTACGGGGATTGAGCGTTGCTCCCTCACGCAAGACGTGGGTTTCATCCGCGTGCTCCGATTCCCTCCCCGCTCGTATAATAAGCACTCAAGTATTAATTGGCAGCAAAGATCTTAATAAGAAATAAACACGTGATGTAGCGGCATGACCCTCCTCAAAAATAGTCTTTAGCCACCGCCTTCACTCCTGACGGAGCTTTCAGCACGCGAGGCGAAACGTCGGACATCGCGCCGATCAACACGATAGCGGCACAGCCCCAAGACGCGTGGGGGGTGGGGGGGAGTGACGCGGTACGGCAGAGCCGCACAAACTAAACTATGTTTGTTTAACACGTAGTAGCTGGCTTTCGTGACCAATATTATCCATGAATATAGATGTGTCGTTAAACCCGCCACCACCCGACACGGCCAATTATTGGGGTTTGTCACGTAAACAAAACGTGCCAATTCGTTATAAATGTTGTGGGTTTTACTCTCCAACACACCGGTGTGCTGAACTAGTAACGAATTGGCATGTTTTTTACGTGACAAACCTTACTAATTGGCTGTGTCGGATAGTGACGGGTTTAATGGCACTTTATATTTAGGCGATTTAACCCAAAAACCTCTGATGGGAAAACTTTTTTTTATTTTACCAGGTAAGGCCCACTGAGCTATACAGCTCTTTTTCAGGAGCGAAGTGGCTTATCACGTGGAAATTTATAGCAGCCAAATAGCTCAACGCGTAATGTTGATTATCCATGTGGAGGGGAAAACCGGAGGACCTGGAGAAAAATCCACGCGATCCACGGGGAGCGAGAGACACGCAAACTCCAAATATACAGCAGCAGGCATCGTCACGGTCGGGATCGAACCCACGACCTCCTGTATACCAGGCGAGGTAGTTAACATCTCCTAGCCACCGTGATGATGACGAGAGAGAGACACGCAAACTCCAAATACACAGCAGACATCGTCACAGTCGGGATCGAACCCACGACCTCCTGTATACCAGGCGAGGTAGTTAACATCTCCTAGCCAGGGGCGGTGTTAACAACGGCAGCACAGCAGCGATTGCGCGACCTCCACGGCGAGGGCGGCTCCGGTGTGCCACGGGGATCCTGAAGTGGCTGGTTCGTGACGTTGTTCACGTGGCATTGCGAATTATTTGCCGAGCCCCGTCGCCCAGACACTTTACAAGACAAGAGCGCGGAGGGCATGGCACAAGGCAGCAGCAGGTGGAGAGACAACACAGAGAGAGAGAGGAGAGGGACAGACGCACATACCTACACACTCGGCTCTCTCTCACACACAGAGGTAGTGTTCGCTGTTGTTGCTGCTCGCACACAGAGAGAGAGAATCCCTCTCTCTCACGCACGACTGGGCCAATTTGGTTGCAAAATTGGATGTGCGACGACTCAGCAAGAACACGTGTGAGCAGAAGCGGCATGGGGACACACAGCAGATGGGAACAAAAACAAAGATGTCCCGTGTAATGGTAACAGACTGTTGGGACGAGGACTGCTAGCGAGTAGCGCCCATGAAGACGGGCACGGCACACGATGGGGGGTTGGTGGCCAGCACCACGCCCGGTCGCCTTTGTCTCCCCAGTGGGGATGTTTACACATCGTACCAGCTGCTCATTTGAGGCTGAGTCGCCCTAGGGGAGGCCCATTACTGGTTCAGATAATCGTCATTGGTGTTGATCGTGAGAGGGAATCCAACTCGGGTCTCCGGATTCGTAGTGCAACGCGCTGACCACTGCGCCACCGCTCCCCCCCATGTGTACAAAGACATGCTCACACACGCACGCACACACACACAGAGACGCACGCACACACACAGAGAGACGCACGCACACACACACACAGAGACGCACGCACACAGAGAGAGACGCACGCACACACACACACAGAGACGCACGCACACACACAGAGAGACGCACGCACACACTCGCTGCAGCAATGTCAGCCTGGCACGCGTGCCAGGCATGGCGTGGCCGGTGCGCGCGTCAGCCAATGACTTTGAGCGCCGTGCGAGCGAGTGGCACACCAGAGGTGAAGAGCGGCGGCAACGATTGATTAACGCTGGGGGTGTTGTGTGTGTGGGGGGGGGGGGGAGAGTGCAGGTATGAGTGGTGGGTGGGTGGGGAGTGGGGGGAGTGTGGAGAGTGTGGGGGGGCACCGATCATCACCACACCTGTTAACGTCACGAGTGGCTGAGTTTTTATTCCGACAGTGCTTCTCCGTGTCGAACAAAACCAACCCAAAAAAACACAACTCGAAGTTTGTCGGTGTCGTCTCCATCGTGAGCGCCCGACTATGCAGAGGCATCGCTGCCAGCTCACCCGCGCGCACGCGCCGTGAACGTAAAACTCCGCCAGCCGCGGCTGCTGCTGGCTTCGGATTGCTGTGGTGGGGCCAATGCCAACGTTGGTTGCGTGGTGGTGGTGGTGGTGGTGCAGGGGCGCACTCCACCCCGGTGGGTGTCGCTTTCGTTCGGGGACCGCCTCGGTTTGACGCGGCTCAGAGAGTCTCTCCCGGCGAGATCGCTGCGCGTCGATCACCGCCATTTGTGAGTCCGGGCATCACGGGCGGCAAGTCCGTTCGCCTTTAACGCGGCGTGGTTTCACAACGCGAATTGGATATAAAATAAAAAAAAATAACCCAGATGCGAATTGGATATAACGCGATTGAGTGAAGGGAACCACGCGGCGCGAGTCGGAGTAAGCGGCTGTACGGCTGCCTCGGCGTAGCATCACAGGAGGCAGCGGGATGCTACTGGATGCTTCTAGACGCTGCCCACGCGCCTCAGTCTTTGTTCGGCCTGCGTACGCATCTCGCCGTGTTATCGCCGACTTTGCTTTATCCTGTATTATATTTTATTCATTATAACGCAGGGGGGGGGGGGGGGGGTTCTTCCACAAAGCGGTGTTCTTCAGGAACGTAACAACCGCGTTTTAGGAGTACGTACATGTAGTCGTAGTGCATTCTCACCCCTCTGCCATAGTCTAAGAGTCTAAGAGGCTATGGCAGAGGAGTCGTTAACCTGCGGCTCTTTAATGGACTGCGCTCGTGCAGCGCGATTTATTAAAGAGCCGCCGTCTCGTGTTCACCACCACCACCACGGTGCATTGCGGCTCTTGAAATATATTCAAGCTTCTCACCGAATTCGAGAAATATAAATGGCCCTTTCTTGTTATTTTGGTGGCCAAACGCTGGCCTCCAGCGAGCTGAGTTTGGAATCCGCCGGTCACGGCTCACGTCAGTGGCGAGTGCGATCTGAAGGGGCCCTGCCCTGGATCCCCCCTTCACTAACCCACACTGGCACACGGAACTGACCACCCTGGTGAAGTATGGTAGAAAAAATATATAAAACAACCCCCATTATTCGACACAGCGTGAAGACAGATGCATGCGTCCCCGTATGGTTAGTCTTTTTGGTCACCCCACGCTCATCGCTCCTCCGATTAGCACGATCGGTGCGAAAGAAGTTCAACACGCGTGCACACAAACGGGTAAGTATCCGTCTATATATTGACTGTTACGAAACGCTGAATTGGGCAGGACACATGGCGCCTGCAAGGGGTGGTAGCTGACGGGCGAGACTGCTGATTGAATGGCAGCCGGAGGCGATTCGGCTCCCCAAGGGGATGGGACCGCCGTAGAGATGGAGCGGTGAAATTAGGCCGCGTGCAGGGGCGAGGCGGATCGTGGCATCGCAGGACCGTGACTGGACGGCGACCACGTGGGGGAGGGAGAGGCCATCATCCAGCAGTGGATAGACCACGGTTCACGATGACGACGATGGTGACGTTGATGATTAAGATCGGTATGATGTTACGTTGGTATGCGAGATAAAATATCGGGTTAATAAAATAACAATTTCTCTCGGCCGCAGAGAATGGAGGAGGGCGACACTGATATTATTATTCTTCTGAAGTGTGGCTTGCACGCTACAGGGCTAATCAGGTTTCATGCCACACAGAAAGCTGGAAATGCCCCCTGTCTCTCCCCTCCAAGAATACGAAACGAGAAATAGTCGAGCAAGGAAGAGGTTTTTGTTGTTGTTGTTGCTGAGCTAAGGGGCATGAACTCTCATGCGGAGGAATTACGAAGCGAAGCTGTTTAAGAAGCAGAAGAATGAGCAGAATATGAACGCGGCGCTGCACCCTACCAGCGGGTGTAAATGTCAGGTCTTGGCTTGACAGGGGGCAGACGGCCCCGTCCCGGTGCCCTGCAGGTTTCGTTGAAAATCGCGATTTTGGTTTTGTCCTGGTTTTAAAATGCTCGGCTTCACTCTATTTTTTTTTGTAATCTCCAGTCCCGCTCTGTCCCCGTCTTCGCGAAGCCCCACTTCCATGATCCCCCAGCAGTTAACGTTCACCGCTCGCGTGTCATCGGAATGTACGTATGCACGCACGTGCGTATGCGTGTGTGTGTGTGTTGAACTTCTTTCGCATCGTACGTAACCAACCGTGTCAATCGGGGGTGTGGGAATGACCGTGCCAATATCACAATGGAAGATCTGATGGAGC